TCACGCTATCGGCTTATCACCGCTCTAAATCATGCCACCCGGAGCTACGACGGTGAGGCCGACGGTCGCCGGCACCGGAGTTCTCATAGGCGGCCTTCGAGGAACGCCGGCCATCCAATCATTGGAGCAATCGCTATTCAATGCCTCTCGTCCTTCGTCTCTCGCTGCCCGCTGGGAGAGCGAGCTAGTCATGGAGGCCGGGGAGCCTGTCCCTAGACTCGTATTTGGAGCCGTTCCAAGCTTCCAAGAAGCTAAGGAGGCCACGGTAGAGCTGAAGGAGACCTTGGATGAGTAAGATCTACTACCACTCCATCTCACTTTGTTGCCAATTTGATACGATTTTGAAATTCAAGTAATTTTTCGTTGATGATCCTAAATTTTTGGCTAAAACTCTAAATACGTTTTTTAATTCAAGGTTGTATCCGTTTTCACTTGAGTCCTCTGAATTAGAAACTTCGTTGATACCTGGACTTTCTCTGCCTCTGAACACTGAGGAACGTGAGAACAGATCTCGTTTAATCTGGGAGAGGAGAACAAGTAATCCAGGGCCTGAACATGCTCTTCAAGCATTTAGATTGCTCAGAAATAACCCTAAAGTTCAGGTAATTAATTTAAAAGCATTCAATTTGCTTAATAACACCACATCTCTGAAGTGCATTGGACCCATTTAACCTCTGGGAGTGTAGATTACTTCTCAAAATGCTGGAGAAATGGTAGAATAAAACTTCAAGGCCCCTCGCCTTGATAGGTCTTTGAATTGAATCTCAGTCTGTGTTTTCAACTTTCAATTTGTTTTCCAGACTGTTGTTGCCTCCATTGCCTCTGACCCAACTGTATACAATGCTATGATTGAGAATCCTGAAGTTAAGCAATTCATCCTTGAAAACAGAACCAGTAAGGTTTCAGAATGTTCATTTAGTCTGAATCCAACATTTTTTTGTTTTTTTTTTTGAGAATGAAGAAATGTCGTGTTTCTGTTGTAAAACCTGATGGGGTTCAATTTCATGTAGGTTCTGATACTATTGAGGATGAAGCAAATGTTACCCAAGTGGGGGAATCAGGAGCAGGCGACATGGGAAAGCTCAGGAACCTGAAAGATTCAGTAATTAGAATGGTGACCAATATACCAATTAATCTTCCAAACTTATTTGGATCTTCGGCTGCAGACGGTGCTACTTCTGGATCAGATCACAAAGAAAATACTCAAAGTGCCCCCAAAGGTGGCAAGTCAGCATCAGGCTTTGTGGAAAAGCTCAGGAGCCTTAAAAATTCAGTCGTTGAAATGGCTGCTCATATACCAAATTATCTTCCCAATGTCTTTGGATCTTCAGCTGCAGAGACTGTTTCTGGATCAGATCATAAGGGAAACACCCAAAGTTCTCCCACTGATTGGAATTTAGGAACATCTCTTATAGGGTTGGCAGTCATGGTTATCATGGTTGTAGTCTTCAAGCGAGTTTAGACTCTCTCTCTCTCTCTCTATCACTACATTTCGCTGGACTTGTGGAACCTATATCTACCTTCATATGGATGCTCCAGGGTTCGGTAAGTATGTTATGAGAGATTATGTCTAACTATATTTATATTATACTGGGGAGATATTGCATTATGACTTAACAAATCTGTTTAGCTTTTTTTAATCAACTCTCTACGTTTGTATATAGAATCAATCTTGCTATGAATCGTGGGACTGATGTTATGACTTGACAAATCTGTTTAGCTTTTTTTAACCAACTCTCTATGTTTGTATATAGAATAAATCTTGCTATGGATCGTAGGACTGATGTTATGACTTAACAAATCTGTTTAGCTTTTTTAAACCAACTCTCTATGTTTGTCTATAGAGTAAGTCTTGGTATACATGACCTTACTTGAACAGAATCTGTTCTATAGGTTGTACAACTATTTCCTTGAGTTCTAAGAATAAGTCTTGCTATGGATCGTATGACTGATGTTATGACTTAAAAAATCTATTTAGCTTTTCTATCACAACTCTCTATGTTTGTATATAGAAAAAATCTTGCTTTGGATCGTGGGATCGACGTTAATATGTTCTGAAACTTTTAAAGCAGTTTGGCTGGTGCATTCTTCTAGTAAGTTGAAAATGCTGGTCACGTGATGTGTCTGATGCATTGTGATCATCAATCTTCACTTTTCCTTACAAAATAAACATATTTGCTCCAATTAACCTTCATTTACCTATAACTGAATTTCAAAGTCCTTAATGACAAAATATGCACATTTTCCTTCAATCATATGTATGAACATACATTTTTCATTCCAAATAATTGTCATCTAAGCATGAAAACTTACATTTTTTAGCCTTTAATCAAGTCTTATCAGTTCATTATATGGACATGGGTTAGTATTGTCTTTTTAAAATTTCACAAGTATAACATTTAAATAAAATTATATATTAATAATTTATACCATATCTAAATAGGACTACGGAGGAGAATCTTTATCTTTTATTTTTGCCTTCAACTTTTAAATACATACCTATTTTACTCTTCAAATTTCTACTAGAGACATGACTGTCTGTCGAGAGAATTAATTTTAAAAAGTTGTGACCATTCGACGAAACAAAGGGTTAATCCAAAAGAGTTGTGACTGTTCGAGTGAAACAGTTAATCCAAAAGAGTTGTGACTGTTCGAGTGAAAATGTGTGTTGAGAGAGGTTAATTCGATGCGAAGTGCAACTATTTGATGAAGTAATGTATCCATCCATGTATAATGGAAGCTGAAAATGTGTGCTGATAGAAGTTAATCCAATGAGAAGTGCAACTATTTGATGAAGTAATGCATCATCCATGTATAGGTGTCATAACAAATCATCTATAAAATGGAAGCTTATGTATTTTTCTTCTTTGACCTAAAACTTATTTTCAAATTATTAATGAAGATTTTCTTGTTCATGAGTGAAAATTGAATTACGTTAAAAAATATTTAAGAATTCAAAAACTTATTTAATGGATTTAGAGGTAGATTATAAAATTATGCATTTGTATTATCGTTCAACTTTTCATTTTTTTTTTAACATTATTTTAATCTTTTTATGTAAATTATTTTTTAAGTTATATATTCATGATATCTTAGTGTTTGGTTGATGGTATTTTCAAGTTTAATTTAATATTTAGTTAATGTTATTTTCAAGTTTAATTTAATATACAACTAACTAAGCTTCAACAATTAAATGAGTTTGGGACATTGATTCATTTGATCTGTATCACTATAAGCAACAACAAAATAATAGTATATAAGATCTTGAGAAACAATGGAAGCAAGAAAATAAAAACAAAACAAAACAGCAAGAAAAAATAAAAACCTCCCCTTGGTAAATAAAGTTTTCCAGAAGCTCAGGTTCTTAATTTTGGTGATGGGAAACTTGCAGAGTAGGTGAATCAAAAAAAGCTGTAATTTGAGGGATTTTTTTTAAATGATGTTTTTTTCTAAGTAATGACAAAAATAACTAGTTTAGAAAATATTTTTAATGATAGGATAGTGCAATCGCAGCATTACTTATGGTTCAGTTAAAACGCATTTAATGATGGTGATTTATGAGAAATCGTAGCAATTGACCGCGATTTGAGACAAAGTCGCAGTCACTGTGTCACGTGGCCATGTTGGAGCCACTTATTGTTGATGGAAATCGCATACATTGCCTACAATTTCCATGGGTTAGTATTTTTTTTCTATTTTTTTCTTCTGGTCCCACTCATTCTTCTCCTAGAAAATGTTCAAATGATACATATATATTTTAATTTAAACCCTCAAATTTGTTTTCTATCCCCCATGAAATTGGGCTAGATAGCTCCTTTATCGAGACAGTATTTTTTTTTACCCACTATTTTCATCTTTACCAATGGAAGCCAAATTATTTCCACTACCCCTCATACATCTTATCTTTTTTGTTTCTCTTTCATCTTCCCCTTCTCCTCCTATTTTTCTCTCTCTACTCAGCCCAAAAATCTAATTTTTTCCCTTCTCTTTCCTCTTTTTCATCTTCTTCCCTCCCTCTCTTTCACCTATTTTTTATCCTTATTTCCCTTCCCTCTCAACCATTTCTTTCTTATTCTAATTTTCTGTTATTCTTCCCTTCCCCTTCTTCATCTT